AAAAGCCACATAAATTAATTTTTGTCACACCAGTTTAGCTTTTGTTTTCGTAGAATAGTCTGATTATTTCATAAATCCCTGTACCTATTACCTCTGTCGCGAATGATGAGTTCACAGGTGTGACGAAAAAATAGTATATTATGTTCAATGTGTGCGGCAGCGTGTGCGGCAGCGGCTCATACAAATATTTCACTTCCCGCCCTTGTCACACAATATAATTCTATTTTGTCATTACCTTATAATAGCAACGAATTTTTAATTTTAGATGCCAGTTGAAGAGTACAAAAATTACCACTTTCCTTTTAGTGAACGGTAAATATTTTTGTTCCCATCAGCTGGGGGTAGTTTGAAAATCTCAGAATGTAGCAATAATCAGTGTATTTTATTATTTCGATTGACGATTCACGTATTTTTGATAATTACTTTGTACCTATCACCTGATTGTATTAGCACAGCATTATTGACAGCATAGTCCACGGTCAACAGCGATTCAAGTTAGGCTTTAATATGTATTTTTTTTGTATTATTAATGATAAGGCTTCAACAAAAGATTTTAACAATATGAACAAAAATAAAATTTACAGACATTTACAATTTATGRTATAAGTGTATATGTAATGGAAAAATTTGAAAATTACTTCGGTATTTTCTGCGCWGAGAGCAAGTCGAAAGGAAGTTGTATTTTTAAAAATTGTCCGAGTTTCRGTGTATTTTGGGCATCTAGTGATACTGTGGTCGATCGATATGTTCGCGTTGCATGTGTTGCATACTGGAGCCGGTTCCTTGGTGATGTAAGGAGTGGGTGAGGTRAGTGTGGCCTATTCTGGATCTGATTACAATGACCTCGTCTCTTCTTTTTAGGCTACAGRAAAAATTCCATTTTTCGTAGTAGGCTTGATGTTTCTTAATTTATTTGAGAGAGGAACGTTGTTCCATTTTATTTGCCATGTATTAAGAATTTTGAGGTTCATGGYGTCGAGCAACTCTAAGTTTAGTTTTAAGGCATTGTGAGGAAGTGTAGCTTTATTTGCGGATTTATCTACTCTTTCTTAGTCAGAAATGACGACATTGATAGATTGTTGAGAGTTGAGACAATATTTCCAAGAAGAGATTGTAGATGACAGTGCTGTCAGTGGAGTGTTTATAGTAATTATTGGCGAGTTGTGTTGATATGGGGAGAGCAGAGCCAAGGGGGAGACGAACATTGTATTTTGTTCAATGTTTGTGTTTGAAGGCCAAGATTTCCACTGATCATTTTGAAATGTTCAACAATTGTGTTCCTGTTGTTGGGCGGAGTTGGTCGTTGGTGGAGAGAGGATGTGAAGTACCTAATACATTTTATTAACTGCAGATATTACATTATAACTTATAAGCACATTTTACATACAGTTATATTATTATTTATTGTAGAATATTTTTTACTTATTACTCATAATTTCGTTATCGTTCATGTTCATAATGCAACGTGGAATTACGTTCTTGTGTAGTGTTACACAATGTGAAAATATGTATTTATTACGTAATAAAACATTATTAACAGAATCACTGAAAATCGTAATCAGTAAATTGTGGATAATTATTTAATTGTTAATACTTAATTTACAACTCGTACTGCTATCTCTGCTGTAGTCATAACAAGTACGATAATATTAATTATATTTTTCGATATTTGATTATCATTTATCGTCACTATTATGTAATATAATATGTATAACTGTATAAGAATAATATTTAAATTTTAAATATAACCACTTGTCTCATTTCTTTAGAATATCTTAATCCTTTTAAAATTTTAATCTTGTTATAATTAAGTGGTTATTAATATTAAATACACGTACCAGATATTTCGGACTCGTTGCTTCACAAAATATATTTATTAGTGAATGGTATATTAATGTACAATSATCCCTTCATGGCAATTTGTGTTGTTTAAAAAATGTGTAGTTCTTACTTATGACATTATGGATAAATAACTATGGAATCACATGCATGTTCGGATCAATGCACATAAAACTTTTCCATACGCAATTTTATGGTTGTGAAAGTACCTATTAATAGTATTTTTTTATGATCTTATTACTAATTAATTTTTTTAACTAAAACGGCACAATAATATATGAATATATTGTGTTTGTCCAACATTAAGGATGACAGACACTAAAGTTATATGTAAAATTTATTAAACATAATTTTTAGACATTTATCAAACATTACAATACTTACAACATTTAAGCTACCACTGAATAAATCAAAATTAAATTATTAAATACAATTTATGTTTATAAAAATAACTATTTTATTTTAACAAAAATATTCTTATACTACTTTTTATATAAAATATAACATAATCTCAATTGGAGATAACAACATACATAATCCCCTGTCAGTAAGCTAATGATCATTATAGTTACATATTTCATAGATAATAAAACAAACTATTCAATAAAGATTACAAATACCATTAATTATCAATGTATAAAATTAACTATAAAATTTAATTGGCCATGATTTCAATAAACATAAATAACAAGAAATCAATAAGAATAACAAAGATTAAGAGTTATGACATTACGCAACATAAACAAAATTAACAGTCTTTACAAAATAAAAATTAGGTCTAAATGTAACACTTTTATAATATCATAATATTCAATGGAATTTATTTAGTTTTTATTGACTGTTGATAGTAAAACAAATAACTAAAATAATTAATCTATAAATTAATTAATTAAAAAGAAATAGATAAGGAATATCTTTTATATAAAAATAATAAAATAGAATTTAAATCACTTTTTATAACATAAAATCATAGTTATGTACATAAAACTTATGTTAMAATATTGTCCACTTAATACATTTTAAAGAAGTAATTTTTTTGACACATACATCTTAATAAAAAAACTCAAAACAGCAGTTCAATCATAAAAAGTAAAATAAAACATTAAGTATATAGCTGAAAACATTAACAAAATGGAAATACATAAACCTAACGTATTGTATATTTAACAGATTTATTAAATTTTATAGTTTWGTAATTGCATGAAAGTCGTCACAATATAAAATTAGACAAATAATGATTTATTTCCGTTAGTATAACTAGAACTTATGTTACCGTTTTGCCAAAATGTARAACTGTTTGTGTGTTGGTATGTCATTGGCAAAATTACACGTTTCTGATCTGTTTGCCTGGCATCATATTTTGCCTAAAAAGATCAATTCAAATAATTTTTTTTTTTTTTTTACAAATAATTATCTTATAACACATACCTTATTATACGCAATCACACCAAACAAAGCCAATGCCATACCACAAACATTATTGAGAGTAACTGGATTTCCAATTACAAATAGAGATGCAGCCACCACAAATATTCTTTTTGATGAGCTRGCTACAGCATATGTTAAAGATGTAACCATTGACATAACACTAAATGCTAATATATTTTGTAACCAACTAAGTATACCATCAGTAAACAGCAAACCYAATACTTTATACGATTCATTATTCATCTGAAATTATATTTATGAAAACATTTATATATGGATGTAATTTTTTAATAATTAATAATATTAATATATTATTACTTTGAAATTTGAAACTGTCACTAGATGCCAGAAATCAAAATATAGCCACACTGGTAGGAACATGATTAATGCTAAACGACCTAGTATATGTAACAGTCGTAAATGATGAATACCAGTATCGCGAAGTACTTTTTTAGAAAAAATATTTTGCAATGTGTGTTGTAATGTAGCTGCCAAGGCACTCATCAATCCTATTACATCAAAAGATATCTCTGTGAAAGATGCGATTGCAACTCCAGCAATTATGGGCACCAATGATAAATAAACCTAAAACAAGATTTTTAAAGACTTGATCAAAGATCTCACAAAATATTGTTTTCAATAACTTACTTTTAAACATTGTTTTTCTCCTAGTATTATTCTAGATAATACAACACTAAACAGTGGCATAGTAGCTTTTACTGAAATAACAAAAACAAAAATTATTAAGATTGAAAATATGTTTTCATTGAGATTATTATATTACTTGTGTGTGTATAGGAAACTGGTACTTTCCATAGACTGACATGTGTGAAAACAGATCCAACAAACTTTCCCAGAGCAAGTGGTACTATAAGCTTAAAATAATAGGGCCAACTTATGTCAACAAATCGTCTCACACCCCATACATTGAAAAACGGRCCTGAATAAACAGCTATGGACAGGAGCTGCACCATGGTCACAGTCATTGGATATGGGAATTGATTTAAAAGTGTCTTGCCAACTACATTGCTGCCAGAACTCACTAYGTACCATACACAGCACAACGAAGCCACAGTGATGACTTCCTTGGACGCCAAGACCATAATTACAACCTATCCTTTTAGYCTAAGAATTTCTCATAACACTCATATTTTCAAATGTTTGAAATTTGAAATTTAAAAATTCTCACATAAATAATTGTAAATCATTGAAAAGATAAATAAATTAGAAATACATAATCATAGYTAAAATTTTTGGAGCTTTACAACATATGGAATTTAGAACAAATTATCATAATTTTTATAATTAATTTTAATACTAAATTCCTACATTTCGCGTTCGTGTTCAAATTTCACTAATTGAGGAACTAGTGGAACTACTCAAGATAAGATAATAGGTGACTGGACATTGAATGATAAGCCATGATTGACCATGTGGCACGAGAACTTGGAAGAAAAAATCAAATGAGCGCAAACAACGGGTGAATCATCAACTAATATACCATACCTATTATAATATAATTAATTAACCATAGGTATTCCATAATAGCCKACTGGCCTAGTAAGTGGACTGGCTATAACTGACTAATTTTAACTTGAACTCATTACTCAAACAGATCAGTTAAACGTTAAACTATTAGCAAAAATATAATATAGTTTTAAATTTATTTTGCGGACTTTTAAAGTTTAAAGAAATACCATGATATAATTACCAGGCCTCAGAAAATTTAAGWTACTCATTCATAATAAACACATAGTACTACGTGTTCAAACCCCTAAATACAAGACAATCTGGTTTACAGTCATCGTGTGTATTCAGAGTTCAGTTTCTAGTTTGTTTCATAAAAAATACCCGTTGTTGGGTGGACTAGGGTGGTGTTCATAAGAGAAGATTTCTTTCGTGCATTATTAGTTTATTACCATTTATATCTCTCTTGGACAACGATTAGATACCTTGTTTATGCAATATATTATTATAAATTGTTCCCAATGTTTCTATTTTAGTAATCTTATACCAACTYCTGACTATTGGGTAAAGCCAACAACATATCAGTACATGGTTCAGCTTCTAAATAATTGGACATTCTAGCCTGGCCCACAACCCATAAAATTTGAATTTTACAATAATAAACTTTTGCAAACTATCAGGTACTACTGGTWCTAGGTCCAAACGCATATTAAAATAAGCCTCCCATTCAACTTAATTATAATAAGATTGTTTTGAAACTTGATAATATATTATTGTTTTTAAAATGAATAACAAAAAGGTTTATTGTTTGGCTGAATAAAGTCAAAATGATCTTAAATTTTTTTTACCTATTATATGTCAGTAAAAATTATTCAATAAAATCACTACAACAATAATTATGCCACCATAAATAAAATTTAATGAATTAAAAAAATATTATTGAAATACAAC